CTTTCCTTCAGTTTTAGAGGGGGGGGGGGGGTGCTGTGGAAGTTTATTGTGGTCCCTCAACCGTGTGTGAGAGCGTCAAGAATAGACAGAAAGAGAAAAGCTGGCATTAGGAGATGCACACTGCAGACACACATTGACCTGTGCCTAAACAGAGGAAGCTTGTCACAAATGAGCAGAGGACAGCGACGGCTGACAGCGTCTTCTCACTCATAGCCCACGTTGAAGCTGTCCCAGTCCCCTGCGTCCTCTGGTCCTTCCTGGTTGGATAGAAACGGGAAATCGGGCTGGTAGTTCTCAGGGGGGCCGGCAAATGCATTTGGCCCCTTCTTGAGTTTGACACTGTTAAATGGAGGAATACATTATTATCTTTTCAAGAGGGCTGTTAAAAGCAGCATGAGATACTCACTGGTTATTGTGTTTGGAACCGGTGATGTGGGCCTGGTACTGCTCCACGGAGTTCAGTTCAATGTTGCACACAGTACATGGGTAGCCCTTCAGTGTGGAGGCTGATAAAAATTACATTTAATAGTTTAGTAACATTTACTGGTTTGACAAAAACAACAAAGTGACCACAAATCCTCATTTTCAAGGTTAAAATGGAGTAAGTGTTACAAGTAAGTGTATCAACTAGGGCTAGGTTGACAATACTGATTAATTGATTGTAACAGATCTTCACTTTGATGAACCAACATTGATTCTTAAATCCCAAGATCAATCTTTAAGTCTGTTTTCTGATGATGTGCAATAAATAAGCTTTTGCTACTTTTGGTATGAAAAAGTCTCAGCTTTCAAATATGTCAATATATGTCATTTTATCAGAAAATTCAAACAATAAATACAGTTTCAACGCTGTCTAATATTTGCATGACAGATCGCTGTAGCCACTTCAGTTCAAACACTTTTTGTACTTTAATAAACACAGACACTAGTCCATATTATGTTTTAATTCACTCTACAACCTACTTGTCATTTATTCACCCAAAATTTGCCAAATTCCATGGCATTCTGCATTATACTGTAAGTTCCATATTTATGACTTGATTCTGTGATTCCATCTGCATTTTCCGCATTGCAGAAATCCCTACTGTATGCATAAATACACTGTATTTTAAATACAGCTGCAACCCGAATATAGATCTTAAACATAATTTGAGGTACATATAAACATAGTTAAATTTAACTAAAAAAAAAGGTTAAAATAATTTAAAATTAAAGTGTTTTTTTTTTTTTTTTTTAAGGCAAATAGAAATATTCCAGGTTAGTTGTAATTGACTGTAGTCGATTACCATAATTAATTTTGACGACTCTAAAAACAAACAAAAAACATTTTTTTGGAATAATACACTTACAAAGCAAGTTCGCAATTGCAGCTGAACGTTCACAGAACTGTGAAGCATATACCTTTGTTAAAGCACTTGATTTGTTTAATAATTTGTATATGAATTAGGGCTGTCAAATTGATTAATTGCGTTTAATTGCATCCAAAACAAAGGTTTGTGTTTACAGGTGCAGCTCAATAAATTAGAATATAATGGAAAAGTTCATTTATTTCAGTAATTCAACTCAAATTGTGAAACTCGTATGTGTATTGTGTATATTTATATGTATATATAAATACACACACACACACACACACACACGTATATATTTAAGAAGAATGTTATATTTATATATAAATCATATATAAAAAAGTATACATGTAAACATTTTTTAATGTATGTGTGTGTACTTATATATACATATAAATATACACAATACACATAGATATATTATGTAAACACCCCCCTTTGTTTTGGATGCGATTAATCGATTTGACAGCCCTGATAAGAAATATTATATTAATTATTATATAAATGGGGAACTTCTGGCTGTGCGTTACTGATGTAAATCCCACTTAAATTCCACATCAAGTTTTACATATGGGATGTGAGACCCCCTTCTATGTTCTGACCTGGTGCAGAGGACGGCCCATAGGTCTCCATCAGCTTCTGTTTAGTCAGGTGTTTTTTATGTTTCTTGCCACTGTAGTGCTGCTGAGCCATGAGTGGATTGTTGAAGGAAGATTGACAGATGGAGCAGAAGCGGTTGGGGTCCCGATTTGCTGGCCCCTGCCCACCTTCAGGTAGCCCTTCATCCTTCTTCACCTGTGCTTTGGGCTGAGGTAATGCTGGGAGATAAGCCAAAACACAGTAGGTCAGCTTTTCAGATGAGATTAACACTTCTAACCATCTTCGGAATATAATATAATATCAACATGCTTTGTACTATATACTGAATATTGCCAATAATAATTAGTATGTGAAACATAAAGGAATGCGTATGCACTAGACTTGTGCCGGTATTCGGTAATGCGATATATCACGGTAATGAATATGCACGATATTGTTATCGTGGGCTCTTCTAAATACCGTGAATAATTATATATTACAAGTTATTCAGAATTTTGAATGCATTTTAAGAATACTTTTCCCATCAACTGGTCAAAATGCACAACACCGCTGTATGCTTTGTGAAAGCCCCGTGCGCACTCTGATGTAAATAAGCGCGGACGAGAAGCACATGGCGGAACATGTGAGAGACGCTCTGGATGAAAGCGCACTTTCACTCTCTGACAGCAGATGGCGCTAAACTGCAGAAATAATAATTCTAATAATAATAACAATAATTCATTTAAATGCAGCCTTTACCCCGGAAACCCTGTAAATAAAGCAGCTGCACTACTTTCTGTTTCTGAATCGTGTTTAAATGATTTAAACAGCCATTCAGATTTGCGTATTTGCGAAAATTTGATACCGGCATATCCCTAGTATGCACTATGATGATTTTGCATTTTTTATCCTAGTTTGTATAAAAATGTCTCAACTTTTGGCTGTTAAAACAAATCAGGAATCAGAAATTATGATCGATACTGCTATTAGTTCAATCATCACACTGGAAATGGAAGGTCAAGTCAAAGGCATTGCATAGTGGAACGCAATATAACTTTTTTCTAGGAATACTGTATAATGCGTTACGAAAATAGCCAGTACAAAAGAACCATCAACTTGTAAAAAAAACAAGTGTACATCTCATTCTGGTAATTCCAGGATTTTAAGAACTAAATATCATGATAATCAAGTCTTTTTACCAGGAGTCTGCTGACCGAAGGTCTTCAAGCGAAGGTTCTTGGAGTGAACTTTGCCCTGGTAATGTGACTGTGCCACTACCGGGGAAGAGAATGTCATGTTGCACACATTGCAGGCTTTGTATTTGTCCCCTTCCTCGACATTACTTATCTGCAAAACATAACACTAGCCATTAATGCAGGACACAAACACATCTGTGATCCAATATTCAATAAGTCTCCATCACATCTGGCCATTCATCTGACTTACATCACCTGCAGGCTTGAACCGTTTTGCGATGGGCTCCTCATTACCATGAATGCTCATGTACCGGCGTACTTTGCTCGCATGTTTTTTGCTCTACAAGAGACAAAATAATTAACATTAAGAAGATACTAATTTGACATGGGATAATTGTCATGAAACATTTTCCAAGCTTTATTTACCAAGTAATAGTCAGTTATCATGCTGGAAATACATGCAGCATGTTTCATCCACGTTTGGGTAAAAATGTCTTGCATTTTGACAATCTGATCAAATAGTGAGCAGATGATGTTAAAAATCATGGGTGACTTAGCAAAATGCTAGAACTGGAAAGTCACGTTGAGCATACTTCATTGTGGGATACAGCCTGACTTGCCTAAAGGTACTTTGGAACTGTCCCAAATACCCACAATAACCAATACTGTCCCTTTTAAGGCAGGCCAGCTTAATGGGCAACAATCTTGGGAAATTCTATTTATTTCAACAGCATTATTCAAATAAGCAACTCAATCTGTCATGAATGGTATCATTATTTGTTTATAATTATTGATTTATTTCGTAAGGTGGGAGCTTGTTTACTAGAAGAACTGTCATATTGTGAAGTGAACACAAATTTCTCTCATTCATTGTGATTCAAGTGGTCCGCCTCTGCTATATTCTGTCTCTGATAGTACCATGCACAGTGATCTCTGTTGTATACTGCAGACTTTTTCAAACTCAATAGGCAGTCTGGGTATTCCAAGCATGCATACATACATAAAATACAGAGCATACTACAGAAATAGTATGAGTAGCATGCTAGTATGCCATTGTGAAAACATCTTGAAATGCTTGCGATCAGTATTTAGTCCTCAAAACCACGTTTTGTACGGGTTTAGCTGAGGAACAAAGAAAATGCTGCGATCATTTCAACGTTGTCCATGTGAGTGTGAATTCATACCTGGTAATGTGCAAGTTTCTGGGATTCTGAGATTAAGACAGCGCTACACACTTTACACTGTGAATCAGAGAACAAGTCACTGTGCTCTTTTATCATTCGGTTCACTGAAAAGACAGGTCAGCATCAGAAACAGTTACTACAAAGGGGCATTTCATTGTTGTATAAAACATATGCATACAAAACAGCTCTGAGGCAAAGTATGCAATGCTCAAATCAAACCTAAAATAGACTTTCTTTGCATTTAGTTGCAAAAAATCAGACTTTGTCTTACATCGACCTTGGATACACTATTCTTTCTAGTAGACACTAAAGCAGCAGTCCTTAGAGCACTGAGGAGCTTGAGCTATGCTGCCATGCTTTACACTCTCAGGCACTGTACATTCTCGGAATAAATGTCATGTGCTACTTATAAATAATGCATCGAATGTATCGCCATTTATTCTAAATGAATGTCGCCGATCTCTTACCCTCGGCCGCCCCTGAAGGTAAATATGGAAAATCTCCATTCGGCTCTTGCTGCGCCATGATGTTAGCAGGAAGCGGATCGCGCATGCGCAGACGATACATGCGCTGCACAAGTCTCTTCATAGCTACCGTATTTCCTGTAACCGTTTTTTTTAATCTGTTTACAAACAAATATGTGAACCATTATCCTGCATGCTTCACAAAATTATTTCTATACACGTCAACCCACTAAGCAATGCAGATGACGTAAGGATCCTTAAGAGAATCAATACGGAGTAAATATGTCTCGTTGCGATGCGAGTTGGTTTATTTTGCTAAAGGATTCATTACTTTCTAGAATTTTCACCAGTTTTATGTGTTATTAATGCACAAATGCACACTCTAAATTTCGCTTGCGACCCTAAATTTGACAAGAATATGTAATTATTTGCACCTCAAATCTTTTACCGCTCCCCTGGGTGTGATTACAAAAGCAACGTGGTTGGTGAATTAATCGTTTTCTGGAATCGAATCTTTTGGTGAACCGGTTCACAAAATAACTTCAGAAATGGGTTTGAAAACTCACTGAACAGCAATTTTGTTGCGAGTTCAAATTAAATTTAGTTTCGAAATGACTTTTTTATATTTCGAAATTAAAGGTTTTATGAGCTGAATTTTAGCTTCAAACTGAATTGGTACACTTAAAGTTACAATGGACATCCTTAATGGATTAATTTAAACATATGTCACCATATGACTTAATAGATTTTATATCCATTAAATTTAGTGGAGATTTAAAAGCCTATTTTGTTATTAAAACCCTATGGTGTTTCTGTTAAATTATTGTAATATATGTTTCTCATGCAATTTAATTTTAATGTAATTTATTTTTATGTAGTTAATAATATCGCATCCTTATTTGGATTAACGTTGTCTTAAAAAAAAAACTAATAAATGTTGTAAATAAAAACGATGTAATGACGTAAAAGAATCACTGAATCGCTTTTGAACCAGTTCTTTGAAGCAAACCGATTCGCGGAAATGACTCGAACTTCCCATCAAATCGCGCGCTGTCGGTTGTGACGTAACGTAAAATGTTAGTCTCACGTCTTAGAATGGGTCACACTGGTTTAAATACAACATTGCACAGAATAGGAAAACATCCCACTGGATTATGCACTTATTGTAATGTACAAGAGACAGTGAAGCATATACTGTTAGACTGCAAAAAATATGAAGAAGATAGGGCAGAATTAAAGGCACAAATGGATGAACAAAGCATGACACTTGAGCATTTATTAGGGAAAGCATCTGGGAGAATACACAATTTATTAATGTTATTTTTGAAAAACAGTGGGTTAAGTGAAAGAATTTAATAGGGATTTTTTTTTATTATTATTATTTTATTTTTTTTATTTTATTTTTTTTACCTCTCCTTTGATGTCAGTCTAATGCCTACACTCCAGTCTAGTAGGTGGCGGTAATGCACCTTTGAGATGAGTTGCCAACCGCCATTAAACCTGAAAGAAGAAGAAGAAGAAGAAGAAGTGACGTAACGTCTTTCCTTGTCCCTCATGTCACGTGACGACAACCGTTTGTGAAAATATCTTGGAATCGAAATCCTTGTTTTTCGAGCCTTTGATAGAACGGACTAATGTCGTATTATCGAATATGATTATGAACATTGAACGCGTTCAGTAAAAGTTTATGAGCAGTTAGCTGAGGAAGAGTCTTAGAGAGTGTGTCTAAAGGTGTACATAGAGAGAGAATTAATGTTGTTGAGGTCGCAGTATGCCCCGCCGGAAGCGCGCAGCGGATGAAGGCGGAAGAAGAGCGAAAGTCAGCAGAGTGGAGCACAATGATGAAGAGACCCTGGTCATATCTGATTCTGAACATGAAGAGGTACTGTGTATGCAGTAGGCAACCACATACTGTGTGTTTGGCTTCGTTTAAAGGTTTCTGTGTGGTTTAAGAGTTGTCTAAATGGGATAGCAACAACTTTTCCTAAAGAATTACCATGGTAATAATTGTCAATAAAAAAAATCACAGTTAGTACCAGATATTCAGTATTGGGTATGTTGTGCTAATTTCTGTTCCAGTAACGTCACCAAATAGAATTGTGAAAAAAAAGATTTTCCAAAAATTCCCCGTCTTCCATTGGTTTGCCAAACAGATAATTTTGCCCCAAACTCAAACCACTGGTTGAGCCAGTGTTTCTGTGAGAGTAATTTCATAAAGAAAAAATAATCATTTTATGGTAAATTATAATGGTTAATTAAAAAAAAAAAGAAATAATAAACAAACGTTATATTTGACCTTTTTATCCTCAGGAGGAAGATTGCTCATTTAAACGGTTCACTCGGACAGCCCGGTGGAAACAAAGGGAGAATCAGTCTCATCTACAAAGTACCGAAACTCAGAATTTAACAACAAATCATTAATTGTGCCTGAAAACTTAGGTGTGCTTTTCATTCAGACCTGATTGTGCTGTTCTACTTGTGATTTCAGAGATGACAGAAGAAGAGATGCTGGACCTGGCCATGAGACTGAGCGCTCAGGAAGCAAACAGTGCTGCCCAGAGACAAGAGCTGGAAGACAACGACATACAAAAAGCCATAGTGGAAAGTCTTAATGTTGGTGAAACATTTATTCTCATAAAGGCTGTAATGCACTATATGACGTTTAAAATTGGAACAGATTTTAAAACACTAGGCATCGTGCACTTTTGTAATTTGTAAATAGAAAAAAACTGAGCGTCATACACTAAACAACTGAGGACCACACATTACCAGACTCTTCAAGTCGTTCCGAAAACAACAAACTCACACAGAAACGTGTGCATCTTTGCCATGAGATGCATTAGAAATGAAAAAAATAAATTGCAATATCTCAAAATATCAAACATGAGTCTGTGCCCATTATACACTACGTGATTTTCAGTGAAATCTGTCAACTCCGACAGCCCAAAATCTTCAGACTGGCTCTGAACTTGACATCAAGTTGCATTGACTTGTTTAGACTGCAAAAAATTGTGCAAAACTTGTGTGGTGTATTCCAGCCTTAAATTTTACAAGTCTCTTTTATAAGTTTGACCAATCAAAGAGCAGGATGGTATTAATCAAAAATGCTGCTTGTATTTCTGCAGGAAAGCACTGTAAAAGCATTGGAGGATCAAGATGAAGCAGCCAGCTCTACAGATCATCCACAGCAGAATGTAACAAATGCGATATCACACTTGAGACAAAAACTGTCATTCTCCAGCCGAGATCAGACACACAGTAAGAATGAAACGACTAGTCCGCTGCCAGAAATGCCTGATCTATCACAGACGACCTCCTCACATCTTTCAATGAGGAGTTCGCCAGCTCAGGTCTCCAGTCCTCCTGCTAACACTCAGGTTAGTTGTTAAGAAAGGGCTTCACATTTTATTATCAAATTATTGTTTTCTTCTAAACCGTATAAAACCTTATCATATTTGATATGCACATTTCTAAGGCTTCTAAATGATCAATATTATCAAAACTTGGTTGATCTGTTGTACACAATCTTCTATATGCCCCCTGTTGTCTGATTAAGAGTTACATTTTTATTCAAGTTAAGTCAAGTTGAGCTTTATTGTCATTCTGCTACATGTGGGGACATACAGTGGAACGAAATGTGCCTCACAGGACCACGGTGCTACATAAGGGGGAGACTTGCTCTTTTCAGCCGGCGGAGAAAGTGTAGGTGCTGTTGTGCCTTCTTGGAGAGTGACATGGTGTTGGTGGTCCAGGTGAGATCCTCTGTGATGTGCACAGACCCTATTAGACCCTTTATTATAATTATAATTCTAAAACTGTCCCCATCAGGTTGTGGTACACTTGTCTTTTTTTTGCTGTGAAATCTTTAATGATGTTTGTAAAGTAAATTTAAGAGTAAATCTTATATTGTTAGTAATATTTTAAGATACACAGTTACTGGACTGAAGCAACTTGGGTTTACTGGATTATCCATATATAATGTTTTAGAAAAATCATATAAAAATGTACAAATTAAATATGATACATCAGGCTTTTGAGGATTTGTACATCTCTCAGTAATCATTGTAATTTATTGCATTACATGATGCAATGTTGCAATGTTTTGCCTTGGGCATAAAAATGAAAAAAAAATAAATAAATAAATTCAGTCGGTTCACTCCAAGCAGAATCAGTATTTTAACGTTTATGTTCATGCGTTCCTTCTGTATTATTACCATTCCGAAACCTCTTGAGTAAAAATGTAGAAAAAATACCATTTAATAACGTTAATATTATGGTTATAATAATAACAATAATAATAAGTACAGTGTTTTCTTTACACAAAAAAAAAAGAAAAGAGAGAGAAGAAAGTCTTAGTCTGGTATCTTGCGTCTAGTCAGCCAATACAGCATCATCTTTTCTAACAAGATTTTGGCCAAATGTATCAAAAGAAAGCAAAAACTGTCAATGTTTTAAAGAAATTAAAATATTTAAAAATGTTTGCTGCATGGTTAAAAAAAAAAGCTACTCGTATACAATTGCGTTTTGAGAGGAAAAGAGATCATTTCGCATGTCTCAGTTTATTATTACATTCAGAATGTAGGCTAAAATACTGGTAAATAAAGCAAAATGTTTACAAACATTATAAACACAGCTATAGGTTATTATAGTTCCCTTAGTTCTCTCCACAACAAATCCTCTAAAGTTAAGTGTTATGGCTAAATAAACGTCCAGCCAAAACGAAATTAATTTAAAGCGAAACTGAAACCTACCTCTCTCATTCGGCGCAGATCCAAATGTTTCCATATTCGTGACATATCTGGATGCTAAAACATCATCATCCTTCACATAAGCTATAACAGCACAGTGAGGCGGTGGTCATGCTGAACGGCACAGATTGTACTATAGACTATTTAAATTGAGCAGTGTAATTTTTATGTTTCTTTAACTGTATTTTATTTTGATAATGAACAGGCAAAAAATGTCAAGTTAGCAAAAAAATATGTGTGTGAGCGTGAGGTGCTGGCGCGATTACTGCATTGTTTTCCCTTTTAAGAGAGGAAACTGTTACTCAATAATTTATGGTCAGACATATAGAAGCTAGACATCATTCAAAACTGTAAAGCTTTTGCAAAGCTTTTTGCCGTCTTGGTTT